ATGGAGTTTTGGGTTTTAGTTTTTCATCCACTTTTTGTGGTGGATCTAAGATTCACAGTCAATAGGGCCAATTTATTTTTAAAATAATTAATAATAATAATAATTATTATTATTATTATGAAGATAAATGAAATGTGAAATAAACTGGAAAATATATTTGAAAATAAAATGAAAAGTAAAAAAAAAAAAAAGTCAATAGAATACAAATATTTAATATTTCTTAAATATAAGCAAAACTTTTTTAAAAAAAAAATATCATTAACTCGATCTTAACTTCATATCCATTGTATCAAACACAAAATTAAAAATTAATAAATCGATGATCCAAGTGATATATATATTGAACTAGTTTATCTTAAATAAGATTTCGAATTAGAGTTTTATTTATCTTAAACAAGCACAGGATTCAGACAAATGTTAAGGACACATATTTTATTAGTCTACATGCAAGTGACACTAGTAAAACACTTTAACTCTGTCAGAAGGCACGCATGGAATAGTCTAAGAGAACATGTTGGGACAATTCATCATAATACTCTATACTTGAAGGAGATAGTCTAGAGCGTGTTGGGACAACAGTGTTGCGCAAGTTACACGCTCTGCGTATAAATGAGCAAAATTAGAACTCTCAAACCTAGTTGTCTCCAAGGTGTTGAATCTTGAAACTTACACAAGGGGCATCTTCTTTGACATTGTATTTCGTGTCACACCTTTTCATAAAATCATTATGTTTATGGTGAATGTCATACAAGATTCAAGTCACATCATATATCTTTTCACATCACTGTTACACAAACACAACTAGACGTTATCCTAGCTAAGCCTTGACATACACTTCATGTCGCATGACCATCACATAATTCACACATGAACACATCATACATCATTGTTAACCAACCTTAAGAGATAAGCATAAAATCAAGATTTACTTTTAACTATTTATATAATTCATCACTTAAACATCATACTATATTCCTCAATTAACAAAAATCATTCACTTAATTAGGTACCTCCAAAAACATCATCGCATATATAATATAAGTACTTATTCACATGTAGGGTAGTGCTCAGCGACGAGTCCTCTACACTTGGCACAAGTCACATAGAGAGCACACATTTCTCTTTTTAAGTCTCTTGCTCAATGTGACTACATTCTAGCTTGAAAAATTTGCACCAAGGAGCCCCTTAGAGCTCCCATGGACAACATGGACTACCCCATGACCGATGTATAAGGTATAGAAAATAGCCTATGCTCTATGTTGCTCCTTGGCCCAATGACCCTTCATGCTTCCTAATGCCAAACCAATTTCAAGAGAAATTGCAGCAAGTGTGAAATCACACAAGTTTCCCGAAAACCCAAACCTTGCATTCCAGTTAGTAAAAATCATGATTAAAACCTAATTCTACATAATTATACCATCAATTACACCAAATAAACATCTTAATACCAAAACATCACCAATTCTATTACTTTTCATTTTGCTCTATACTTTAAGGACTGTTTGTTAGGGGATAAGTTTTTTTATACTTAGAAATCATGATTATTGAGAATTACAAAAATTGGAAATCATTAGGATAGCTAAAATCTGTTTGATTACTTGTAAAATTTGCTAGGAATATTCATATAGGATTCTCATGAATTAAAAATTTTCATGTATGGTGACAATAATATATTATTGGCTATTAAATATTGTTTACAAAAATATTCTTTATTAAAATAACCTCATTATATATATTTATTTATTCAAATCTTATTACAAATATGACATTAAACTATTTTAAAAAGTTTAGAACTTATAATTAAAATTATTTAAATACACAATTCAACAAAAAAATAAACAAATAAAAATTCTACCTTATAATTAAGAAGGATAAAAATATATTATTTCATTTCATTAAAAAAATAAATAAATAATGTGAACAATTATTATTAAACTGTATAAACAAAACAGACTTTAATAATATCATTAAAATTAATAAGATCAAGAAATAATGAGATACAAGAAAGATAGAAAGAGAGAGACATATATAAATATATGAGAGGGAGAGAGAGGGGGGAGAAGCAGAGAGGGAGAAAGATAAATAAAAGGAGAGAAATACTTTGAAAAGATGAATTCCAACTATATATATATATATATATATATATATATATATATATATCCTATTTTAAAAATAGATGTATACTATGGTCTTTTATATATAAATTCTTTTTCGTAACTCAAAAAAGTTGAATTCCCAACCTCATATAAAAATATTTTTGTGGGAAAGTTAGATAAAAATGGTTTTCAACCTCGATGATTTTTTTAAATAGCTACCAAAAATATAAGAAACTAGGATTTCCAATTTAATATTCCCAAGAAAGTAAAAAATATTCGACATATCAAATGTCGAAATTGTTCATTGTTAAGGGTTCACATAAGAACTATAAACATTCATAGATTCATAATTAATTGGATTCAAGTCAATTTCGTCACGCATATAACACAATTATCACCCATAAAAGCATATACGAAGCGAAACACAAATTCACATACAACCCACAATTAGAATTTCTCTTTCAAACACACATGAACAATCAAGAAATTGAAGATTAATCTCATGTACCAAACTAGTTTATTTTGGTTACACAAACCGATAAACCATTATTTTTAAAACTAGTCTGATCATTGAATTGGTTTAAATATTAATTCAAAATTCAAATAGTTCAACCATGGTTAAATTGATATTAATATTAATAATAATAATTAATTATTATTATTATTAATGTGAAATAATATTATATATAATATTATAATTCTATAATGCTAAAATTAAAATAAAATTATTTATAGTTTCTTAACCCTCAATGTATACATAAAACTATAAACCAAATATAATACAATATTTAAGTTCAATTTTAATAAAATATAACAATATCCAGTAACAAGTTTACATCTCAAGTTATAAATATTAAATTAATATATTTTAAATTATAAAATTTCAAGATATAAAAAATTAAAAATTACATAAATGATTCTTTCCTATTTATAATATATATTTAATATTATTTTTTTAATAAAATTTATATTAAAAAATTAAAATTAAAAAGGATGTTTTTGAATTGGAACGGTTCATACCAATTTTGTTACATCGGTTACAACTGATTTTCACCAGTTTTGATCTGATTCGTCTTGTTCTTGATTGGTTTGCATCGATTCTCAAGTGCCCCGATTTTTAGTGTTTATTAGATAGGTTACCAGTTCGATTAGTCAAAGCAATCGATTTGATTCGATTTTTATAATTGTTATAAACTAGTTAAAAAAAACTTATAAGTTTCTGAAATGACTTGTTAAACACACTCTTAATGTAGTTAATAAGAATAATTTATGAAAATTATTATGAAATTATTAAAATTTAATACAATTATATGACTTCTTATAATTTATGAACAAAGAGAATAATAAAGACAATTTATGAATAATGTAGTTAATATGTGAAATCAATTTTTTTTTAATTTTATATAATTAGTAACAGAGAGAATAATAAAGTTTGATAAGTAACTCATCATTACAGGTGTTTTTTTGTATAAAATAATTAATATAAAAGATACATTAATTCTTATGAATAAAAGACTAAAATAAACTTCTAATTTATTTATTATATAATGCATTGAAAGAATAATAATTTATTAATTTATCCGTAATGAATGTGGTGCTATTTTTTTTATATAAAACAAAGAAAAAATATTAAATAGATAAAAAATCATAAAATTAATATAGTATTTTTTAATATCAACTTTAGTATTAATTTTTTTCTCCTAAAAACAATACAACACAATAATATTTTTTAAAAAATAATATTGCATCATTAAGCGTATAAAATAAAAATAATTAATATTATATTAAAATTAAAACATTATTTATACGATAATTATGATACCAAAATTATCATTTATTTAATACTCATACTAAAACGTTGTAATTAGTAATTACTTAGAACTATGAAGAATGAAAGCATATAGTATATCATAAATCTATGGGCGTAATTCATGGAAATTTTATTGAGAAGATAAATTAGAAGGCATTGTTGTTATTGTATTTCGAAATGCTAAAATGATTTATATATTTAATTTAATTTAATTAATTTGAAAGAGATGAGTGGATGACAGCTGGCAGTGATAACCAAACAAACATCACATTTCGGTGCCTCTGTTGTCGTGCTTAAATACATTTACATTTTCTCATAAATCTTTTTTTGACAGAAAATAAAATTCATATATTTTTTTTTTGTAAAACTGTACAATAAAAAAAGAAAGAAAAGTGTCTGAAAAAAAAATAAGGATTTGAATTTATATGTTTAATATAAATTTTTTACACTATCAATTACTGTAATTAAAAAATATTATTTTAATGTAATTTTGAAATAATTTTTTTGTAAAAATTAATACGTTTCATTTTCTTTTATGAAGAGCACAAATTCACATGTCTATTCTTTACGAGGAATCTTGATTGAGTGAGCGATAAAGTTCTTATTTAATCACAATTGTACCTTAGAATTCAAATGTGAGAATACTAATTAAGTTGAAAGAATCATGCATAACTTATGATCCACAATTAAAATAATTTGTGATTATATGAACTAATACACTATTTTTTTTTTTGAATTTATAGAATAATTAATATGATTAAAAAAAACATTAAATTTATTTTTAATATTAAAATTTTGGTAATTTTTATTTTTAATCTCTCAACAAAATTTATTTAGTTTTGATTTCCAGAAATTTTCTCTATGAACAAAAGTTCTTTAATTCAGGGATCAAAATATTAATAATAGAAAAAGTTTAAAAATTAAAAGTGAAAATCTATATAAATTTAAGGATTAAAACTAGTAAAAAATTTGATGAGAGACAAAAATAAAAATTGACAAAAAGTTTATGAATTAAAAACACATTTAATTTAAAAAAAAATAATAATAAGATAAGGTTTATGTTAAGGAGTCGTTTGTCAACTTACTTTGATTTCCTTTGTTACTTTTTAGCGTCCCTCCTTTTCTAGTTTCTCTGTTTTCCATTGTCTCTCTTTATTAACCCTCTTTCTGAAAAGGAGAAGAAAACAAAACAGCATTGCAACATATGGGTGCTTCTGGCAACAATTTTCTCCAAGTGGTCGCTAAGAACTTCGATGTTCTTGCTCTGTATGCTTCTTTTCTGTTGTATCTCTAAGCATTGGTGCCACCATGTGATGTAGATTCAGATTTTATTTTGTTTTTAACTATGTTGTGTATGTTGCATTGAATCATTTTGATCTGTGTGTTGTTTTTAACTTTTTATGCAGGCCCTTGGTCACCCTCGTTTACCCTTTGTAAGTATGTCTTTTGTTTTCTGAATGTTACTTAGTGGAGCAATGTGTATCTGAGATTTTGGTTTGTGGGGGTACCCTTTGGTCTTTGTGACAGATATGCTTCAATCAAGGCCATAGAGAGCAGGTCTACTACTGATGATCAACAATGGCTCACTTATTGGGTTCTCTATTCTATGATCACACTCTTCGAGCTCACATTTGCTAAAGTTCTTGAAGTGTAAGTTAACCATTGAATCTGGACATTATTGGATGCTATATATTGGTGGTCAAGTAATGCAGATTATACAGGACTTCAGTATGCAATTTGTTTTTGGGTACATTGTTTGGATGTCAGTAGAGTAAATAGTGTATGCACTAAGATTGTGAAGGGTTTTTATTTCTCACTCTTTGAATACATTTTTAGTATTTGAAAAATGTCTCTAAACAACTTACTTTTTTATTTTTCAATGTAATATTATTATTTATTTAATTTGTACTTTTATAAATTATTCATTAATTACAATTAAATGTAATGTATTGATCGAGAGAGTGAGACAAATTTTAGTAAAATTGTATAAAAAGTGATACAGATATTTTTGTTTTTAATTTGTATATAAAAATCTTAAACTATAGTCATTGTAAGGAGGGAGTATCACCCATTCACAAATTAGTATGTCATTTTGATAAATTTGTAATTTACTCACTTTTACAATAACCACTTCAATAATTATATCCATGATGATTTCTGATTAATTATTACCTCTTCTAATCTAAATTGGCTGCAGTTTTAACATTTGAAAAAAATCTTAAAAAGATTGATGTTCTTGATTTTCGATGTAATATTATTCTTTTTCCCTAATTTGTCACTCATAAATTCTTTAACTACCACAATTAAAAGTAATACATGAATTGATAAAGTGAAGTTATTTTAATAAAGTTATATTTAAAGATAATATATTCAGTGTTGTTCTTAATATATATCAGAAACTGCCGTCATTTTAAGATAAAGGGGGTAGTGTCAATTTTTTTGCACTATTGATGAGTAGAAATAAAACTGATGAATGATGATAATAAGGGTATGATGGGATATTGCGATAGAGTAAAATCAAGCGCTTCAATTTTTAATTTTGGTTTGTGAAAAATTAGTATTGTTATTTTATTTAAAATTAAACAAGTCAAATTTAAAGTAATAATCATGAGTTTTACTTATTTATGAGTGTGTTACAGAAGTCTTTTTAGTTAGCTTGTAACTTTTGTCTTTCAAGAAATTGTCACATGTTCTATGGTTGGCAAGAAAAGTTTTAAGAAGTTTCCATGTGATTGTGTTACAAATTTCAGGCTTGCCATATGGCCTTATGCTAAGTTGATCCTAAGCTGCTGGCTGGTTCTTCCAAACTTTAATGGGGCAGCACATGTTTATAGGCACTACGTTAGACCATTCTATATGAATCCACAAATGCCGCAAATCCCATTGCCGGGAGCTTCTCAAATGTGGTATGTTCCACGGAAGAACATATTTAGTAAGCAGGATGATGTCCTTACTGCTGCTGAGAGATACATGGAAGAGCATGGAACAGAAGCATTTGAAAGACTCATAACCAAGGTACACGTTATCCAAATTTTCAAGTGAAAAGTATTTATAGTTTTAGAGTTCATCTCACTTCATTTGTTTTTCCCACAAACCTTGGATAATTTAAGTTATATATCTCATGCATTTAATTATGAATTAGTGATCTTAAAAATAAGAATTTGAAAAAGCTTTTTGGTATATTATAGTTCCTAGGAAGAAAACCAAAACAAGATTGGTATTTGGTATAACTGTTCTGACCCTTACGAAGAATTGGGAGATTTATCTCATTATTCGGCATATATTACACAATTGGGCTTTTATTTCTTATTATAACTTATAGCAATGCCTGGATTTGAAAACTACTCTAAAATAAAAATTGTAACTAATTTGATTGTGATTGTATTGTGAATTGCTAGAGGGAAAAACCCTCTGCCCGATGTATTTACTGACACATAAAATACAAAACCAAGAATCACATTGAAGATTTTAGTTGTAAATCCATGCCCTGAACTTATAGGAAGTAGCCCTTTTTATTAATGCTATTTAAACATGATAATATATGCAACTATACTTATTTTAATCATAAAAAATACTTATAGATTGTTGATATGCAGGCCGACAGAGAAGCTAGAGGAAGGAGGAATGGAAATCATATGATCTTTGATGATGATTATATATATTAACTCTGTTAACCCTTAAACTTTTCTCTGTAGTATCACCATGACAATGCATTAATAGTTATTTAAGTGTATGACTTATGAATTTAGTGACTATAGATATATATATGTTTAGTTCAGGTTGAGACATTTCATCAAGTTAGCCCGACTATAAAGATATAAGGAGGAAGATAAAGTGGGAGAAAATGATGGGGAATGAGAGAAATCGTGTCAATTTTAGCTTGTTTTCATCTTAGTGATGACCAAAGTCAGGAGCAAATGAGCAATCACAACTTCAAGTAAATAGATATAAACCACGATGACTTTTTTTTTCAGACCTTAATTTGACAGAAATTTTGCATATATATTCGATTTTTATTGAAGACTAATAGAAATCTAGGACAATAATTGTGCAATGCTCTCGCGTGAATACAAGGTCCCGATTTTCATACGCGAGCCAGAGCCAAAGACTTGACAGTGAATGTATTTGAATATATCGTTCCACTCACTACCTAACCAACATATAATAATATAATCTAAAGATTAAGTTGTTTTCTCGCTATTAGACACAAAGTCTGGTATAATGTAAATCTGCCAGATGCAGAGATGTAACTTCATAGGGATTCATAACGAAGGTTTTACTTTAAGATATAAAGTAAAGTTGAATCTGATTTTCTATTCATCAGGATTTCCTTTTGTCTTTAAAGTCTATTTGGATCGGCGAAAAGAGGTAGAACAATAGAAGTAAATGAAATGTTTGGATATGTAAACAATGGCGGAGTTTCATTTCGACAAAGGGCCCCTCGAACTTTTGACACACATGCACATGTATATCCAAGGCACTAGAACAACTTTCGATTCTAGTGCCTTGGATATAAATGTGTATATCTCTGATTTAGAATAGGTTCCAGCTCTTACGCACACTTCCACCAAGCATTCCATTGCCAATTTCTTCTCCCAAACATAAGCATCACTAAACAGATCAAACTTTTCCTGTTAAGAACCCTGACTGAATGACCTAACCTAAATGCAAATAGTCTGAGTTATCTAGCAACAGATAACAAAGATGAATTTGCATTGATTGCACATTGACTCCAATTTTATGGCTAAGACTACCATAAAATTTTACCTAATAAACATTAAAAGAAGGTGTCAAGTATACAATGAGCGTTTCTTTTGATACTATCTAGATTCTAGACCCATCTGTCTAATGGGATTAATTGTTTACAATGCTTTAGTAGGCACAGAGGGCATCAATGCTTTACTAGTTCTACAAGTTCAATGAATGTATTGTACGCCATGTTTCTACTTTGATGCATTAACAATCCTGGATAAATCGCCGGTGCATTTTTCGTGTAATTTGGACAATAAAAATACTGCTACAGATATTAAATACCTATAAAAATTGTGAAACCCTATTTAACATTTTTGAGTACATCCTTCTGTTTTAGTCCTAAATGCCTGCGTTTAATTGCTCCATATTTGGAGTAACATTTAATATGGCAAAATAGAAAAATCCTTTCGCCCTTACACCACTAATTGGTAATTAGTATCACATTCATCCTGGGTCATATTGCCACTAGCTTTTAAACTTAATGCAGGGTTTTTTTGAACCTTAACCAAGATTTCCATGGAGAGCATCTGCCTTCAGTAAAGGATCAGCAACTGTCCTTCATTCACCATTTTTTGAATCAATGACCTCTGCACAATAAAAGAGATTACACGACACAATATGACCAAGCTACCTTCTCTGAGGAAGATAAGTCTTATCAACTGAACTTTTCTCCTCCTTGAATGGTTGGGTAGAGGGATCAGATAGACTTGGTACTCTAGATACACTACCCTTCCCTCTCTTAGCATTTGGTCCCACCACCTCTATCATATATTTCCAGCCATCAATTGGCCTCCTCCGGCTAAATATGTGAGTCTTGATAAAACTAGCAATCTGCACACAAGTTTTAAAGTTGTGAATGAAAAGAAGAGTAAAATTTCGGAAGAAACACTAAGATATCTTACATTACACTAAATGATTCCCAAAAGCAACACCAATGCTTTATATTGGGATTAGAAAAACATTTTAAAGCAACATGCCAATCTATTATTTTTATGCACACCTGAAACTTGCTATAGGCAATACGTCGTTCAAATTCCTGGAGAAGTATATCTTCTTCTCTCTGGGACATCTCCCATACATTTCCTTCTTGATTTTTTGATATTGTTTCCCATCCATCAGGCATATTTTTGAACTCAGAAGTTTGAACTTGTGCATTGTTGAGATCATTATTGCCAGAGTCAAAAATGCTGCAGTAGCATATAAATACAAAATACATTAGCATCCAATGTGTGACATTTGATAAAATTGAAGATTAAAAGGCCACAACTTTGATCTATGATGCTGTGAGACATTAATGTGCACAGAAAAACACAGATACAAGAGACCTGAAAAATCACTAGTGTATATAACATAGCATGAACCCACATCAACCTTGGTGTTTGCAAAACAAAATAAGAGACAAACATAAAAATTTGAAAGAAAATCAAATAAATAATCACCAACTAATACCCAGCCCTATCCAAAGAGGAGAATTCTAAAGTGAAAGAAAATACATCTACCATTCCCCCACAAATTAAACAGCAGTACTTCATACATTGTCATTCGCTACCTTTTGTCAACAACTCTCAAACGTAATGCAATATTGTTGGCGTTTGAAGGAAAAGGTAGGTACATATTAGAGATAGAAAACCAATCCTGAACTTTCACCATAAAGCTTAAGCTACTAAGAGATTTGCTAATTGAGTCATTGACATCGCATATTAGATATTTCTACAACCAACTAGTCAGAAGTTCAATCCCAGCTACTCCATTTTTTTAAGTTGAATTTCAACACAAGGCAGCGTATGTCTATGCATTGGCCCTGCCCACAGTTCAAGTTTAATTTTGTATGCTAGAAGGACATGCTAGATACATAAAACCAATCATGAATTCCCAAGCCTTAACCTAAAGCCCAAGCTATTGCGAGAGTAGGTCACACAACAGAGGATCGATTAGGTTCATCACACAGCAAAATTCATTACAAATTTTCAAGGTCCAGAAATAGTCCCAAGTTGTACACTCTAGATGGAAAACTCCAATTTTATGCACCATAAATAATTTATATAGTGATATAGTCTTGTATCTATCAATCAGAAATTATAGCTGGTACGAATTTTAAGATAGTTATTGTAATACTCAACAAGTTTCTCATGAATCATAGTGTAAAATTGCACACATTATTTACTCTTACAAAAGAGATGGTTAGGGTTTAGGAGTAATGTTTTAGGGTTTAAGACTATAAAAGATGCCTTATAATCACAATGCTTCATGAGATATATGTATTAGGAACTTAAATGAATAATAAATTAAGAACCACAAACTCCATTAACACGATCAAGCTACAGCTAAAGAAACATAATCCAATTTAAGATAGAGAGAGAGAGAGAGGTATACTCGGAGCAACTATCAAGCAATCTCTGAATGTCGTCACCAGCAGCAACGTCAGAATCTCCCAATTTCGCCTCCTCAAGCTTCTCAATCTCCTTCATCCACAATCCGGCGTGCATCCTCTGCTTCTTCAGCCGGTAATCCTTCTTCATATTCTCCACACTGTAAAGCGCGCCGGTCTCCTCCTTTTTCTCCTCCTTCTCCTTCGATCCTTTCCGCCGCTCGTTCCAATTCTCGTTCATCTCCGCCACGAACGCCTTCGTCTCTTCGTCGGCGGCGGCATCAGCGTCAGCGGCGGAGGAGGAGGAAGGGAAGTTGACGTCGCTCTCCCACGGTGCTCGCGCCTTCGGCGTCAGGTCGTCCGGCAGCCACGCCGATTCCCACGCCTCGTTCCACTCGTCCTCGCCGCTCCGGGACTGGCGGCTCGACCCCCGCCGTCTCGTCGCCGGAACTTCGCCGTCGCCGGACGGAGCGAAATGAGGTTTCGCGGCGGCGACGGATGGTAGAGCGTTGAATTGCTTCGCCGTAGAGATGGTCGCTGTCGTGATTCGTCGAAACGCTTGCATTTTCGATGAACTGCTACTGCACAAGCAGGGCGTGGTTTCTCTGTTTCGCTCTCTCTGGGCGAAATGAGAGGGTGGATTTGGGCCTTGGGCTTTGATTTTCATTTCGACGTGGGCCTTAGAATGGACCTGAAGCTAAACGAGGCCTGTTTTAGTGCTTATTCAGGCATGGGCCTTTACTGCTTATGCGTACCTTATGTTGGTCTGTTTTTATAGGTTCAAACATTTATGCTATTAGTATTTGGAACCCCAAAAAATATGCTATTAGATGCAAAATTTCGAGACAAAAAAAAATCCTTCGTTAGGACTTATGGATGGTCTATTACAGTTAGATTCGGACCCAAAATTTGTAATATGAAGTAATTTGATGGGTATATATTTTTTATTTTTATTTATACTCTCTTATTTATTACTAGTAGAAAAAAAATTTCGTTAAAAAAAATATATATATATATCCTTAATGTTTGTACGGTTAGTGAGCCACTTACACAACTTTTTGCCATATGTAATTTTCTGTAAAAAAAAAAAAAAAAAAAAAAAAACTTGTTATATGTGCTTTGTGTATTTATTACTTTGTGTTTTTTTTTTTATTTTTAGTATTTGTCCTTCACCTCAGTGCTGCATTTCAGCATCACTTTTATGCATTTAGTATAAAACTAGTTTACCTTTATCATCACACTTGTTGAAAGAACGTGTCACCTATAACATAGCTATATTGGACCACAAAATTACATTAGAAGCACAAAAATATAATGAACTCCATTAAACAGTAAGTTTAAGAAAAATAAGTAAAATGAAAAGATTAATTGCTTGTATGTATTAAGTAATCTAATTAGTCAGCCACTATATTGTCAACAGAAAATTAATATGGGCTTACCGAATAAAAATCAATTTGGTCGATTGGGAGATTATGAAAATTCTAATAGATTAAAATATAAGGCATAATTATAGTCTCCAATGCACAAAATCAAGCAACAGTTTTTCTTCACCCCATCCGAAGAAAAAAAAAAACAAAAAAACAAAGGTCCTATAAAGAATAAGGTTCTTTAGTTGAGAAAATTCATTAAACCAATTATTCGTGATCAAAGTTAGATTCCGTTGCGTAATGATTAAGCAATATAAATTGAAGTATTCCATGAACTTTTGGTGTTGATAATCTGACGCAATGTGTATTTTGTATTTTATTAGAGTTGAATTAAATTTGAAGATACATAATTCGAGAGGTGTAGTTGAGTTGAAAAGAGTAGATATGAATTGTTAAAGGTATCATAATTCTTAAAAATTAAAAAAAAAAGAAAAAGAAATTGAAGAATCGTTTGATTGAATGAATGAGCATCCGAAAGAGATAAGAGGAAGTAGATGGCGGGCACGGCACGGGCCTATTGTTTTCATTTGATGGACTCTTTGTTCGGTGGAATGGGTAGGTCGGAAACTAAAGTATTAAATCAACTAATATGGATTTGGACCACGGATGCATTTTATCCAATTTATTATTTTCGTAATACTAAATTATTATTATTATTATACTATTATTATTATTATTATATATTGCATAGATACGGCATGAGATTGACATGTTTTTTTATTTCGACACTCTTCCGGAATGGATACATATTGGACAAATCGTATCCACGTAAATTGGACATATCTTTACCATGAACACCTAAAAACTTATATATCTCCATCGCGGACACCTGAACATGTCTATCTTGATGCACTACCCAATATGTAAATTCAAGATTTTTTTTTAAAAAAAAATAAATTTTGATAAAAATAAAAACAAAGAAAAGAGAATTTGAGATTTTTTTTTTAAAAAGTAAGAAAAATAAACCTTAATAAAATTAGAAACAAAGAAGAGAAGATTTGAGATTTTAAAAACAAAATTTTTTTGTTGTAGAATATAATAACTCTTAATTTATTTTTCAAAAACTTAATAAGTTATTTAATGTTAATATATTTTTTAATGTTATTTATATTATATATAATATATATATCGTGTTCATGTGTCTTATTGTTTTATTTTATTATATTCTTGTATTTGTGTCTGTGTCATATTCTTACGTCGTGTCTGAATGTGTGATACATAATTATTGTATGAAAATTTATTTATAAAATTGACTTCATAATTTATTGGGAAAGATTTTTAAGAAGAGTGTATAAAACTATGAGGTTCGACAAAAAATTTCGTACGTCCAATCATCTTATCGATCTTCATTACGTATCTAAAGCTCCGGTCATGCATGAAGACAATCATTTATCATTCCTAAATCATAATCACCCATAATGATTTTATAATATTCAAATTTTCTAAAAGAATCCATCGATAGTTTTGCAAGACATTTGAGAAAGTTATAATCTCATATGTCTTGTTTATAAATTAATTTAACCAAAATAAATTTATTTGACATGTAATTTTATTTATGTAAGTTAATTAAAATAATTTATAGTTTATAGACTTTTATCTTTCTTATTCTCTTTAACTTATTTGAATTTTTTTTACTCTTTTTAAATTTAGAAATAATTTTGACAATATATTATTCTCTCATTTTTATTATTAAATAAAAAAATATCATTTTACATTACTTAACTAATTTACCCGTTAATCTTACTAACCATTTTAATTTAATTCAATTAGTTAGTTTATATTCTTCCGGTTTCCAACTAGCTTACAAACTTTTTTATAAATTATGAATTAGTTAAAAATTTATAAATTAATTGACTGAATTAAAAATATTAAGTAAGATTGGTTTATAAGCTAATTGATTAATGTATAAAGGCGTATTTACTTATTTAATAATGAGACTATAAGAATAACATACAAATAAAATTATTTCTAAATTAAAAGGAATGAAAAGAGATTTCAAGTGAATTAATAAGAATAAAAAAGGAGAGGAAAAAACTAAGAGTTTATAAATGATAATCTATTTCAATTTGTTTATAAAAATATGTCATAATTTCTTGTACCAAAATCTCAACTTAGTTACCATAACTTTAATTTGGAGGAGGATCGAAACACTTTTATGAAATCAGAAGAGAAAAAACGTCTCCTTCAACTCTAGAATCTATTTTTTAAAAAAAAACTTTTTCCTAACATTTTGATAAATAAATTTTTAAAGTTCAAGTTCTCAGGAAATCTTATATGTATATTTTCTGATTTTAAGTCAACTTTAACTTCAATATAAAATAATATCAAACAACTATATTTGTAAAAAGTCTTTAATCCTTAAAATTTTAAAAACACAACAAATATCATATTAACCTAAATCAAATAACATGCAATATAAATAAAGCATACAAGTCACAATACTATGTTACAAAAGTTGATATACCTGCATTAAAATATGGTTACAAAGTTAAATTTTTTTTATTGAATTCTTTAATTATATTTGATGAATAATTATTACATCAAGACGACGAGCCTTAATATAATTAGTGAAAAGTCTCTTTAAATAAACTTCTTTATAAATATTTTTTAGAAAGAAAACATGTAGGAAAATAAAATGATTTTTTATAAGTTAAAATTGATTTATTCATAAATTAATTTATAAAACTTATATCATGTTATTTTTATTAAAAAAATATTTTTAATTTATGTATAAATTAATTTTATCTAATAAAAAGTTGTTTTATTTATTTCTTATAATTATTACAAACTTTTTTTAACCTATGTGCAAATTAATTTTATCTAATAAAAATGTTATTTCATTTATTACTATTTTTTTCTTTTTAAAAGCATCTTTAAAAAAATGTTCAAACAAATCGTAAATATGCAGGAGTGCAACTAAAAAAATCAAATACTCGGTCAGTCAATCTGATATGTGAATAAATTACATAAGTTGAAGTGTAAATCAATATCAACAAATTATATGCAAGAGCAAAGCAGTTAAAAGATCAAAGAATGAGTCAATCAATCTGAACAAATTACATAAGTTGAAGTATAAATCAATTTCAAAAAACTTCTATTAACAAATAAATAGAAGTGCATCTAAGTCTCTTCTAACTCCATGTTATAGTTTTATGTTTATAATGCACAAACGTTCTAAAACTTCTATTTTAGATGTTTTGACATGCGTATAAACAACAATTCAAACACAACTCAGGCTAAGATTAGCATCGAATTACATTGTATTAACAATATAATATTTTTATAATGAGATATTTAACTTTTAAAATAATTTTCCCTTTAATCTTAAGTCAATTGACACAATTCAACACTATACTTTAAGCATTTTTAACACAACTATTTAACACTACACAATATATAACTCTCAATGCATTCCACCATTCAACAACCTTAAAACTTTTAGTAAATTAAATATCAATATACATCGTCCTAGATTAATGTATAAAAGCATTAGAATCATACATAAACTTGTATCATGTGAGCAATCTAATCTACTAACACATATTCAACACTTAATCAACAAAACAACAAGTCTTTTATTAGGCACAACCCGACGCCATTCTTCCCGCACCAAATGTCATTGAGAGCCTTTGGCTTGCCCATGTTTGAAAACAAACTACCTGCACTTGACATAAATGAGGTAGAGATCTCCTGTGTCAATCACACTTAGCATGACAAAACCCACACCTGACCTCATTTTAGGTAAAGAGTCTTTGTATGATTCACGTCCGACGTCACAACACTGGCACCCAATGTCATTTAGGCAAAAAGCTTTTGTATATCACAACTAGCGCATTATGTTACCAAGTCAGAGAACTCCAAAAGCATTCATGCTTGACGTCATTATTCAACCTACGCGCAACGTGACCAAGTCAAAAAATTCTCCTCTAACTCACATCCTGCGCCATCAATCTTACACCTGATGAGAGTGAGACAAAGAGCCTCTGGCTTGCATCATGCTCGACGCCTTGAAGCTACACCCAACATGATGGTGATTTCTACACTTGGCAAAATCACAAATTTGGTTTTCCAAACCTGAAACTCAGGAAAATCCAACATGCAATGTCATATATTGCTACTACACATCATAAACTACTTATATTTAGCTTCAAATTCAACATGCAATTATCCAAGATAAGGTTCACCAAAATTCATCTCAACATGTTCAAGACCACCAATCTCACAACACACAAGAATTTCATCCCAATCATCAACACGACCACAGATTTATTGAAA